TGAAATAAATACTACATATTTTTTATAATTAATGCATTAATAACAAACACAGTCTGACTGTAAAACTTAAAGAATATACCTGACTTTAGTCAGTTGAGACTGAATATCCTTGTCAATATTCTCCCAGACCATATCGAGCGAACCGGTCGACGTTTCAAACCACCGCTTCAACGTAGCGTGGGAACTCTCCACCCTACACAACGTTGTGTTGCCAATATGAAAGACAGTGTCTGTCCACACTTTGAAAAACTTCTCCTTGTGCACTAGCCATGTCTTATCCGCATAATCCAACACACGAGGAAACGCCACGTATGTAACAACCATATCTTCTACGGCAGTTTTGTATTTGTCCCACGTGTTCGCCTTGACAACCTTCTTCCACTTGTCGTGCGTGAACTTCTGCGCGAAGATCTTATTTTTGGACGTCGGCCGATAGACCTTGTCTTCCACATCCTTGTTGATGTGCCACGTGCAGAGTAAGTGGGGCGTCGTTGGGAAATTCCTCTGAATAGGAGTAATCAACCCCAACTCCCGATCACTGACAATGACTGAAGGCTGTTTATCAGACTCTATCATCAGTCTCAACCGCTGTAGGACCCAGTCATAGCTATACTCGGTCTCGTCCTTCACAATTGCATAAGCAATTAAGAAGTTCTTGTTGCACGGCGTCATTCCAATCATCTCAACCAACGGCATGTGGTACCTGTGCAAATGAAAATCGTAAACAATTTCAAATCATTAACACTATTTAATTAAAATGTGAATAAAAATCGTAAACAATTTCGAATGTTTGTCTCAAAAACAATATTTAATTAAATTATCATGTAATAATATTTGACTGATTTATGTTTTTACAGATTTTATTGATTTTTTTAATACAATCTTATTATATTTATTTCCTTTCCATTTTGTAACAACATCAACCGAAGTTTTTTTTAAGAATCTCGGACAACTGAAGCCGCAATTGTTGAAAATTTCATTCTTTTTTTTTTATTCAATTATCCTTACTTACAACCAATCCAAGATTATAAGAAAATCTGGGACATGAAATTTCAAATTTTATTTTGACCGATTAATTACTAAATCTTTTATATTTATATAGATTAATAAATTAATGTAACATACCTGTTGGTTTTGTACGTGGAATCTATACCGACATACCAATAATATGTCTGGAATAGACTGGCTGCTCGTGGATGCGACATGAACACACGTGTCAACGCCTGTGTGTTCGGGTCAACATCTGTGTAAACTTTGTAGTTGTTGTCGGTAGCCAAATGCAGAAGCTGGCCAGCAATATCTCGACCTTCCAGACGGTCTTTTCGCAATCGAGCTTTATAATTATAAACTTGTTGGCAAGTAGCGTTGTCCACAAGGTTTTTCTCTTGAATTGCAGCCAAAATTGCTGTCGGTCTTGCCTGAGCATCACTCATGTCACGGATAATCTCTTAGGATGAATCGCTGAGTCTGCTGATCTGTCGATGACCCTCGGGATACACAGTCAACGCATGATTATGAAATCCCTTCTCGTCTTCTAAAGGAAGCTAGATACACCATTTTGGGATACCTCTTCAAATTTCACATTTAACTGAAAAAGACAGCCAGTATATTTCGTCTTCGAACGTCTCAAGACAACATTCACTAAATTTCCTAGTTTTCCTGCCTTGCCCCTGTAACGTTCCTCTCGATCACACCTCAACGTCCGAACTGTTCCATCCTTATTGTGTCTCGAGATGACCAATTGGAAACCCCATATTATTGCAATGTCTTTTGGCCCATTCAATAGCTTTGTCGGGATTATCAAATAGTTCGTTTGTAGCGAAACAAGATCGATAATCTTCACCGTCTCTTCCAAAATCTTCGAGTGGCACCTGCAATATGTTACGATGTATGTTAATAATTTTACAAAAATAATGAATTATAACTTGTCTCAAAATAATAATAATAATAATTTGTAATTTATTATATAA